ACCGGTAAATCGAGAGCTTCGCTTTCTGACTCAGCTCTCTCTTCACCACGATGGACCGGTACAGCGCCCGCTTTACAGCAGACGCTGCGCCAATCTGCCTGTTCTTGTCTTTTTAAAAAATGTCAGGAGTAGAAAGTACAGATAACTGTGTGAAAATATAAGAAGTAGTAGTAAAAAGTAGGCTGAAAAATAATTACTCAAGTACAGATACCCAAAAATTCTACATAAGTACACTAACAAAGTATTTGTTCTTAGTTACTTTACAGCTCTGCCAGGGAATTAAAAAGTACTCAGGCCAATTCAGTATTTAAAACACACTTAATCTTTTGAGCACTGACCCAGTCCACATTCCATACCAACAGGTGACACTACATCATTGTTTGCCAACTGGAAAAAACAACATGCCACAACATGACGTTACATAATATTACAGAGCCAGTAAGGGGACATGGGGGATCCTGTAAAATTTTCTCGGGATCCTGAGAGAGAAAGTCAGGATTCTGAGACCCCAACCCTACTGTCACCTCACGGGCTCCGTATAAACATGACACAACATGATATAATTTTTACTAAATGTTAAATTTAAATGTTATGGGTGTGAAATCTTCAATCTAAATGTAAAAGTTAAATCTTAAATGTTGATGTTTATAAATCTAGGCATGGAGCTTGGCTCTTGGTGCACAGCTTTTGTTGTGACGTCAACATCCTGAGCAACAAAAGCAACTGTTACTCACATAGATGTGTACAGTATATATAAAGACATTTTATTTCTTTGTTGTTCAGTAAATATGAAATAAATCACTAAATATAATGTTGGTGTGTTGAGTCTACAGCTGGTCTCTGCTTCCCTCTGCTGACAGATTTTTACTGTAAACTTTTGTTAAAAAAGAAAAAATGAATTCAAAACTGTTAAAATATTTTTTGTTTTTGTGAGAGTGCATAATAAAACACTTTGGTAATGGTTTTGTTTTCTGCTGAACAGCAAAGAATAATGAGATATTTATTAAAATTCTCTGCCATGCTGCAGATTTCCAGGCGTGTTCGTTCGTCAGTCAGCAGTTTTGTCCTTTAAGCTGATTCGTTAACTTCATGACAGAGCCAGAGAAAACCTGGAGTCGAGCCATGTTTTTAATTTCTCTCAGGGAGTCGCTCCTCAACACTAGACGCTTCATTCTTCATCCTCTGACGCTTCTTCTCTGGAAGAAAATTAAAATAAATCGTTAGTCATCAGTCGTAAACATGTATTCCTGATCTGTCAACAGCTGTGGAACATTTTATTCACAAGTTGAAGTTTAACAAAAAACCTTCCATCCTCAGGTATGTTACCTGACCGGACTGCTGTGAGAAAACAAAATGATTACAAAAGTAAAATATGTAGGAGGAACAACGTAGCTGATGGGAAAGTTACAGTGAAACAAGCAGATAGATTAACTGTTTGTGTTGTTTTACACCATGAATACTAAAAATTGGACATGTGATTATTGTACAAAAGGTAAAAGCTGAAGTGTTTCTGCTCAGTGTGATGGAGATATTCACCTGAGATAGACTGGAACAACTCAAAACTTTCCAATATGTAAATTTAGTTTTAAATTAAATCAGTGAAAATTAAAGGAGTTTGTCTTTTTGTTGGAGTGAGGACTAGTTCAAAGTAGCAAAAGACTACCGGGTACTTAAAATTAGCAAAAGGCTGGTTAAAGGTAATGAAGCGCTAGCTAAAAGCATCAAAAAGCTGGCTAAAAACATCAAAAGGTGAGCTAAAAATGTCAAAACGTTAGCTAAAAGCATCAAAAAGTTAGGTAAGGTAGAAAAGGAAACCTAAAAGTTAAAAAAGATAACTCAAAAACATCAAAAGGCTAACTAAAACATCAAAAGGCTAACTAAAACATCAAAAGGCTAACTAAAAACATCAAAAGGCTAACTAAAAACATCAAAAGGCTAACTAAAAACATCAAAAGGCTAACTAAAAACATCAAAAGTCCAACTAAAAACATCAAAAGTCCAACTAAAAACATCAAAAGTCTAGCTAAAAACATCAAAAGTCCAACTAAAAACATCAAAAGTCTAACTAAAAACATCAAAAGTCTAACTAAAAACATCAAAAGTCTAACTAAAAACATCAAAAGTCTAGCTAAAACCATCAGAAAGCTAGCAAAAAGTATCAAAACCTAACTAAAAGTAACTAATGACTGGCTAAATATTACAAGAGGCTAAAAGTAAATAAAAACTAACTAAAAGCATAAAAAATTAGCTAAAGGCATTAAAAAGCTAGCTAAAATTAGAAAAAATCAAGTGAAAAGTGTCAGCTAGCTAAAATCCTCAAAAAAGGCCAAAAACACCAAAAGGTGAGACATAAAAGTGAAAATAGCTAAAATAATCCAAAAATTAAGGTAAAAAATATGACCTAAAAGTTACAAAAAGGTTGCTAAAAACATCAAAAGGCTAGCTAAAGGCCCTGTCACACTACTTATGCCAACTTATGAACCATTTTTTATGTCTAAATTGCTAATAAAAGTTATATTTGATCAATTCGTTAGGATAACAATATGTACACGCTGAAAAGAAGCTTTCTGTTGATTTTTTAAATTCCATCTTGAACAAAGACGTCTTTAAAATGTTCATAAATTGGCAAAGGTTGTTTAGTGTGACAGGGCCTTAAAGGCATCAAAACAGCAAAAGCTAACTAAAAGCATCAAGACCTACTGTAGCTAAAAGTAACAAATGACTAGCTGAAAGCATAAAAATTATCTAAACTAACTCAGCTAAGAGTTTCAAAAAAACTTGTGAAAAGTTTCAAAAACCTAGCTAAAAGTAACAAAAGGCTAGCAACAAATACTAAAAGACTAGCTAAAAGTATACAAACCTAACTGAAAACATCAATAGACTTACTCAAACGTATCAAAGTTGCTAAAATTACTAGTTGGGGTTTAAAGAACCAAAAAAGGTACTTAAAATGCAAAGAAAATGAGTAGCTAGAGGCTAAAAATAACAACAGGTTAGAGAAAAATGTAAAGAAATATAAAGTAGAGTGAAATCTTTACTAAGAGTAAAATAAGACAAAACATAGCAGGTATGGAGAAATATTTATAAATAAAGTCAAATAATTTGAAAAGTAAAACAATCACAGCAACAATCTCCTGAATGAGCGAAACATTTTGATATAAGAACAGCTAAAATAACTTACCCGGTAGTTAGATTGAAATATTTTCAAATAAAATCAAGAAATACATATTTTATCTGACGTAACGTGTTTTATCAAACAGCTGTTACTTTTCTGTTTATATTCTTGTCATTTTAAAAAAGGAGGAAGTTGGCTTTTAAATCAAAGAAACAAGTTTGAGCCTTTAAAACCGGCCCTGACTGTCAGGTCAGAGGATCAGGTTCAACAGGAGTGAAAAGTTCTCCACAACGATTTACTCTTTTCTGTTCCTTCAGCATTTGAGTTTTGGTTTAACCTGTTAAACTACAGATTCAGTCAGAGAGAAAACAAAAGGCTTTCTAAGGACACTCTGTTAATGACAGGCAATAAATACCCTTTAAACACTTTTTGCCAGATGTTTTCATCATCTAGTGGTTATTTTATTTCTCTTCAGTCACTGAGAGGCAGTTTATTTATTTATTTATTTATTTATTTATTTATTTCACTGATGATATGTTTCAATTACCGTATTTATTTCTCTACATGTTTGTTACCACATTCAAAATGTTATCTAAATTACTAATTTGTTAAAATAGAGCTACCAGGTTGGTTAATGCTAACTAGCACTAACTGATGATGTATATATATACATACATATATATNGATCGGTCAATAACCAGGCATGCAATACATGTAACAGTTACCTGTGGCTGAGAGCTGCTGGCTGAGCTGGGCTCCTGTGGGACAGAAGCTGTGTACGGGGAGGCAGAGAAACCAGCTTTGTCTGAGTGAGGAGATTCCCAGGCTCAGGTGCCGTCAGTTAGTTACATCCAGAGGACAAGGCGAAGCAACATTTACTTGTTTTCTACTCTTTTCACAAATGTTTAGACGAGCCAAGTCCGTTCACTCTTTTCAAACTACTTTTCAAAAGACATGCATTATTTTTTCCTATAAAAATAATGTAGTTGCTTACTCTTGGTAGTATGGCTTTACTTAAAATTTTATATTTGTGACATTCATTAATTTGGGGGTCCAATTTAGGGTTTTACAATATTGTGGGTGGTCAGGACCCCCCYACCCCCCAGGGGGATTTCTGCCCTTGTGTAGGACGACCATCTCCCAAGCTGTTCTGCCACTYGAAATAAGTTCTCCACTTCTTCCTGATGTTATCTCCAGGCWTGTTCTGGCTTTCCCAGCAGCCCATCAACAGTCCTCTTCTCAGCCCCACAGTTGGATTATGACATTTTGCTTGGATTGTGTGTGGATTTGTTTTGGTTATGTGAGGACCCACTGCCTGTCTGTTTGATTAGCTGTGTACAGTTTACTTGACGTCCATCATGGCAAAGTGGATGGTTTTCTGAAYCGTGACATCACATGCAAAGGGTCAAGTAAAAGTGTAAAAGCACTTTTTGTGTAAAAATAACGTAAAAAAAATACCCATTAAAGACAAAAGCTAGGCTGAACCACGGGTCTGTATTGCATAACACCACCTTTCACAAAAACAGTTTTCTAAAGGCAATAATGACTATAATGTTATATTAAAATGTTGAAAACTTTGGGATGCAGTAATGTGCATGTTTCAGCTGCAGATATCTCTGCTACAATTAGTCATGCAGGTGTGATGATCCTACAAACCAATCGGATGTCAGAATGGTTTATATTCATACTTAACAACCAACCACAATTAAATTCACTTTATCCAGGAGGCACATATACAGTTTCTGGATAGTTGTTTTTTCTCTCAGTGATAAGTTGGAATGAAATTATTCTTGTATTTTTAAAATGTAAGGAGTAAAAATTTGTCTGAAAAACATTTAGTCCAGTAAAGTATAAATAACTAAAATTTCTACTTAAAAGTATTTGTACTTCATTACTATACACCCCTGGCTTTACATATACAGCGGGTAAAATAAGTATTGAACACGTCACCATTTTTCTCAGTAAATATATTACTAGAGGTGCTAATGGCATGAAATTTTCACCAGATGTTGGTAACAACCCAAGTGATCCATACATACAAAGAAATCAAACCATAAATGTCCAGAAATGAAGTTATTTGTAATAATGTGGAATGGCACAGGGAAAAAGTATTGAAC